AGGTTATTTAGAACCTAATTTATTTGTATAGTATAAACTTGTTACCTATATTTTCAAAGGTAATAAAGCCTTTGGTAATAAGGTAGGTATCTACACACACACAGAGTTCTATATTCTATATTTTAGATCATTACTGATAAAAGTTTGTAAAAAAATGTTAGGCTTATTTAGACTTGATCTTTACCTCATATCTGTTTTGCAAGCTGAAAACATATAAGCTCTCAATTCATCCATATTTCATCTAAAGTCTTTCTGGCCATACAAATGCTTGAAGAATAGTCTACATGATAATAGTAACTCGTTGGATATTTCATATGAATTACATGTACTACTTTTGGTTCCAAAAGATAAAATAATCATCTCGTCTGGTTCTTGAGACATCATTCTTTAAAGGGCTCTTTTTTACATTTTCTAAACGGAAAGCTCACAGAATCACACCCAGATAAACAATACTACTGACAACAAATTGTCTGCAAATATTTTAACATTTAGATGTTTCAAGTTTGTTAGTGCTTTAATGATTGAGAAACATGGGATAAATTTATTTTCTCTTTCCATCCAAATTTCGATATCTAAGGTAACCAACAAAATTATGATATTAGATGCATATTTTCTATTAATTGTCACAGTGTCTTGCTGGACACAATTTGCAATAAGATCCGCCTTTAAATATTTTGCGAAATTATAAACATTTGATTGTAGTTTATAAGGAGAATGGCCTTCATTAGAAGATGTGGCGTCAGCGTCAGTATCTGAAGAACTTGAATTTCGTACAGCATCTAATTAGTTTTAGTAGAGCAATGATAACTTTGAAGTTTTCCATCTCAGACAACAACCATAATTTTTTCCTTGAAAATACTTTTTTATGATCTCTCCTGACGATGGCTATTGTGCAGTCCACTCAACATTCCATAACTTTGCTTCCTTATGTAGAAATTGTTTGATTTCTGATATTGTGAAAACCCTGTTTTCTATAAATAGGGCATTTTATATATAAAATTGAATTTTAATGAAAATAATTCCAAACGAAAGAACTTCAGATTCTTGTGGGTAATTTACTTCTGATTTTGATTTTTGGACTAGTTTTTAGAAACACAAATTATGATATGCACATTCGTGGGCAACCATGTCAGTACAATTATTACCAAATCCTTGAATTCGATGCAAAAGTTGATGGTCGTCTATTGTTTTTGCCATGTTCCATATTTTAGTTGTTAAATGTCAATATTTGCTTGTGTTTTCTCAAACCCCTACTGTCGCGAATTTTGCTTACTAGTACGTTTTGGAGCATCTTCCTTGGTTTCCATTTCGTTTTTCAGAAGATTTGTTAAAAGAAGAGATAATAAAAAAATTCATACCGTTCAATCTTGCTGAACGAACCCGGGTATGTTATACTACAATAGTAATTACAGATTGACTATAAAATGCATTTCTGTGACATTTCTCTTTATTCAACGCCTCATTTTGCTGTACTGTATTTTTGATTCCGTAATACTGATTGTAATGAACTAGGAACTAGGTAGTAAACCAGTCCAAGGTTTTGTTCAAATATTGGAGACATTGCAATTAAGCTGACTCATTTCTGAGGTTTGATTCAATTTTACTGGTTTATTCACCTGTTCACACTTATTTTTTCTCATAATTCTTGCGCTGTCTTTGACAGGTTTAAGCTTGAAAATTGAAGCGACTTTTCTTATTATTATCAGAAAATCAACTTGATTCTCAGCTTCTTAAAAATATATAAACTGAGGAAAACCACCTATTTAAAATATTATTTCTTCAAATCTTAATTTTTTTAAAAAAACGTTTACTGAACAAAAAAAGTAAAATGTTGCAACCATGTATGCGCCGCGTTGAAGCCACAAGAAACGTTACTGCGAAGGGGAGCTAGAGAAAAAGGCGATTAGGCATTGGATAAATGACAGAAGAAGCTGGCGCTGTTCCTTTAGACGCGTGTCTGAAATTATTCATTATTCAAAATTTATTTTAATTTTGTATTAAACTTATTGTTCAATCAAATTTGTTATCAGTGTGTGTGTGTTAAGGAGCGATCAACAGGTGAGTTAAATAATTATTATTTTGTTTTTGAGAGTTCAATTTACGCAAGTATTATTTTTTTCCAATTTTTAAGTTTTTTGTTTGTTTATAACAATTTTTTTTATAACATGTGCATTGTTCATGTATTTAACCAAAATCGTTTCATACTGGAAACAACACAGATAGAGAAGTAAATTAAAACCTAAGAAATTATGTGCTGTCTTTTTGTGCTGAGATTTTGATTTTGTGTATTCAGAGCGTGCATTAGGGCCTTGTTGAATTTACTAAGATTTTCCTACCCTGACGAGCGAATATCCTACCGAACAAAGGAAAGAGATATTGGCTCAAAAACAACTATAGCCGTGAGTTTACGTAACCAGGGACCTCGGTATACCTGCCACAGATGGGCTAACTAACAAAAAACTCTTCAGTATTGATTATAGGTAGTGTTGATTGAATGTAGAGTGTGCAATTCAAATTTTAGCACAAAGAACAAAGACGGTACCTAATTTAAACTGTTATTGACTTAAATTATTGAATTATTGACTGCCGTTGTCTTTTCCCTCGAGAATTCTAGGTCGTAGGCCCGACACTATGCAGCATCAAATTTATCGACGACAAAGAACGTAAAGTTCGAAATGAGACATGGCAGACTCGACGAAAGCGACGTGAAGCAAACGCAAAAAAAAATAAAGGGTAGTCAGTCGTTATCATTATCAAACCTACTTTCCTCTCTAAATAACGGGATTTCCATAACTTTGCCCGTGTTTTGGGCGATTATGGTTATTGCGCCAATAAACATTAAAGGGTCCTTCAGCAAGTGTTGCCGTCAGAAGTACGTATTGCCTCTCAATGATAAAATCACAAATAGGTAGTATAATTTTTCAAACATTTTTGGATAATCTGCTTCTGGTCATCTGATGGAAAAACATTTAAAAATAATGCTGATACTTCTTAAAAATGCAACTATTAAATGCAAATTATTCTGGCTGGTATATCCTTTTCACAATCCGATGTCCACAGGTGCAGGTAAATTTATCGCCTTTCCCTATCAAATAGCATTGAAAGGTGATAAATTTTACCTGTACCTGTGGACATCGGATAGTGAACGGATAATAGGTGTCATGAAATTTCTATTAGTCTAGGAGGCAGTGACGATTTCCGGTACTTATTTTTCCAGTCAAAAAACATGGATAGAATTGTAGGTTTAGTAATTCTAAGCAATATGCATATATTTTTAGGGGGGGTTTTCCGATGGGCTGAGGCGCAAAATGCGTTAAAGCTTACCAATGCACGGTCCTTTTTTTTCTCAGTGATAAAAATAGGTCTACTAATGAGAAATATACTGAAGTTACGTAAAAAAATAGTCCGGCTAATCTGTGAGTAGGGATAATATGTCTGGCAAGTGAAAAATTGAAGATCCGAAAATTTTCAGCCAGACTCACTTTTACGATCTGAGATAAGCCAAATTGCTATTTTCATATACTTTATGTTCTATTGTAGTGAATGTGAAATATTTATGTCAGGGAAAATAAGCGTACTTGTATTTTTCATCGATCTTGTGAACCCATCCGAAAATTTTAGCCAGACTCAAAAATTCTTGCTTTGTATCACCAGGAGAACAAACTATTTAATAGACACCAACTGGGAACATAAGTGCTAAAAAATTTCACTGCCTCCTGGACTATATAGTTCAACAACGGCTTGAGAGGAATCATTTATACGACAAATGACTTCTCACTCCTGGAAGCTTTCCCCACAACGGAATACTCAAAGAGCCTGGGGATATACCTTCTTTTTTTTGCGTTACTTATAGAATCATCAACCAATATAAACACCTCTGATTCGCTTTGCCGCTATATTATTCATATACAGAAAAAAGGATAGATGATGTATCTGGGGCTACAGATGTAAATAAGCAAATTGTTTTGGGATTTATTTCAACTGGTGGAAGCCACACGCAAATGAAGGAAATCTTCAGCTATTGCGATGTTCCTACAATGTTCAATAATACATATTTAAAAATCCAAGATACAATAGCTGATGTGATTCATGATGTCTCATTTTTTGGGATGAAATCAAAGTTGCTGGAGAGGAGGAAAAAAAAATGCCATTCAAAAGGGCAAAGTCGATGCGAATGGTATCCCTTATATTACTGTGGTTGCAGATGGTGCTTGGAGCAAAGGTTCTTACAAAGTCAATTACAATGCACTTTCTGGAGTGGTAAGTTGACGGGTATTTATTTTATTTCATTACTAATTCAACTTAATTTGTTATTTTATGCAGTAATAATAGGACAGGAGACCAGAAAAATTTTATTCCTTGGAATAAAAAATAAGTATTGCTGCATATGTGAAAGAGCAAAAAATAAAAATGTAGAAACCAGAGACCACATTTGCTACAAAAATTGGGACCGAGCATCTACGGCAATGGAGTCCGAAATTATTGTAGAAGGATTCCGTAAGAGTGTTGATATGCACGGAATAAAATATGCATATTTAGTGGCAGATGGTGATAGTAGCGTCACAAAAAAGTTGGCTGATACAAAACCTTATCACAATAGGCCGGTGCAGGAAATTGAATGTCGGAATCACCTTCTGAGAAACTTTTGCAATCGCTCTCAAAAGAGAATAAGTTCCAAACAAAAGACAGTTCCTGCAAATGAGAGAAATGTTCTTTCAACTAGCGTAAAACGAATGCGGAATGGAATTGTAGGAGCAGTTCAGCACTATATCTCAACCGATTCAACCCACACACAAAAAGTTTTACAATAAAAGAAGGATATAGCCAATGCTCCACAACATGTATTTGGAGATCATGCAAATTGCAAGGCATACTTTCGTAATGGCCCAAAGGAGAACCAATGCAACTGGACTACCCTGATGAAACAATCCGGACTATTTCAAGATATTTTGGTTGTCACTGAGAGACTAGTGCGAAATGCGGAGAGCCTTATTATTCATATGGATAACAATGCTGCAGAATGCTACAATTCCATATTAGCAAAAGCCATTGGAGGCAAAAGGATAAATTATTCGTTAAGAAGGTCATATGAAACTCGATGTGAAAAGGCAGCTATTTCATATAATATCGGCACTCAGACATCAAGAGTTTTGGTCAAAAAAATTTGTAATCAAAGTCCTGGAAGTGTGCACAAAAATTACATCCAATCGTTGGAAAAAGGTTCGGAAACGACTTTTCCCAACAACCAAAAAACAAAAAAACCATCAAAGCTCCAGCAGATGAAGACTATGGGCTACCTTCCATCGAAATGGATGAAGCTGTTTATGTAACGCAAAAACAGCAATTTATGGACTCCCTCTCACTTGATAAAGACCAAGCCAAAACCCTTGAGCGTGCAACCATAGGGCAAGCTGACACATTACTGTGGATGGAGGAAAGATCAAAACGAATCACAGCAAGTAATTTTGGGAAGATCTGCAAATTACGAAAAACTACTCTCTGCTCCAACACAGTAAAGGCCATGTTGTACAGCGCATTCCAAGGAAATGCAGCTATTTATAAGTACAGAGCTTACTTATTTAGGTGCCTCACCTGATGGCCTGATTGATGATGACGGGATTATAGAAGTTAAATGTCCCAAAACATGCAGCAACAAAACCCCTCGGGAAGGAATTGAAAGCAAAGTTATCAAATTTGCCACAATAGAAAATGATAGTATTAAATTAAAGCGGAATGATAATTACTTCTTCCAAATTCAAGGGCAGCTACACATTTCAAACAGGAAGTATTGCTACTTCATAATATGGACCCCTCTAAAAATGGAATTTGAAAAGGTATTTATTGCTGTTTTTTTTTAATTTTCTTGTATTTATTACCTATATTATTTTTAGATTTATACAGATGATGAGTTTTGGGCCGAAAAAGTGAACTTGCAGCTGAGGACATTCTTTTTTAAATGCTTGCTACCCGAATCCTCAGTATTGCCATAAACGAAAAATAACAGACTTGCGATTGGAATGAAATGGAAACTCTAGCTTTTTACTATTGGTTTAAATTTATATGACAATTTGTGTGTTTCTATTCTATATCATCTATTCCACCAAAAATACCCAATACCCAATTTGCCGACCAAAATTGCTCAAATAGTCCTGATTTAGAAACACAAATGTCTCAATTTATTTCAGTGAATCAGGCCTACTCTATCTTATTACAATTTGTGATTCCAATAAAGGAAAATCGTATGAAAGATACCTACTTATCTGCCTTTTATTTATATTCCTTAGAATTTGAACACAATACAAAGTTTAGGTTTGTATATAATGTAACTCAACTTGTGTAATATTTTTGAATTTGAATTTGAATATGCAACACAGGTGATACAATTCCGTTTTGTTGTACAATAAAACGTTTTATTATTGTCAAATACTGAACTGGACCTACATAATAGTTATTTAGAGTACCGTGTAAATTAAAGAGATTAATAAACCTTTAAAACCAATATCCAATAATAACGATGGTCGTGCAAAATAGAGATCAAAACTATCTTCCGATATGAGGGGTCGTGCCGACAATCCCGTGTTTCGCATTGTTTTTCGTCAGCGTCAGCCGCTTCGAAAATATTAAGATTTATTCTGAAATTGCATAAAAAAGTGCTATAAGCTGTTCGTTACTGAGACTTAGTGCTCATAGCTAGAAAGTTGAATTTGGGATATGTTGTAGTTGAAGGGGCATTCTAGTTACGTACAAACGCTTTTTTCCGATAACTTTTTCTAAATCCCGAATATCAGCGTGAGAAAATGATTAAAAATTTGGCATTTTCAGGTGCTATTTTCCATTGCAAAAAAATTTTTTTTCTTAAAAAGCGGCTTGCTCCCCACTGGTAAGTTCATTTATCTATGACCAAATTTTTTTGTTTCAAAATATCTATTTCTGTTTAGGCGTGGTATTGAATGAGCGAAAGCTCTGCAATCGGCTAAGAAAGCTAGGCCGCGTCGCCCCTCAATAATAAAGTAGACGTTTCACAAATTTTCGTTTCTTTTACATATCACAACTTCCCTTAAATTTCCCAAATATTTGCTATGTCGGGCGCATGTCCAGTAAGTAGAATTGAGTATTTTTCGACAACGTAGGTCCTATTTGTTTTTCATATAATTTTTCAGAAGATTTGTTGTTTAAAAGGTAATAAAAATTCTCATCGTTCAATTTTACTGAGCGAACCCGGGTATGTTATACTACAAAACTTATTTCTAATTATGTGAACTCAAACCTTGGGTCTGAAAAAATCAAAACTTGGCAATATAGAATTTTATATTGATTTGTGTTTTTTGAACGAACATGATTTATATTGTCTTTTAAATTAAATATTATATTGATGATTAGTTCTTAAGTTTATTTTAAATAATAGGTATATATTCATAATTTTAAGGATTTATTTATTCAGAGGCTGGGTTTTGGGTTTCAGTTATTTGGGAAATAACACCAGAAAAAAAAAGTAAATTTTGCTGTCCTTATTAGAAACTCTTATAATACTTTTAAGATCTGTAACACAGTAACTTCAAGATAAAGGTATAGTTAATATGAGGTTACATCCTGAGCTGAGGAGTAATAGTCCAGGCCGAATAGTGCAACTCTGGAACCGTACTTGCTGCCACTCCTCCAGGAGCTTTTCCACAGTAGTGAGAAGAACCACCTATTAAAATATTATTTTTCCAAATCATAACTTTTTAAAAAAACTTTTACGTAATAAAAGTAAATATTGCAACCATGTAATGCGTCCTCAAGTTTAGGTTTTTCGAAACGGGACGCGCCGCAACAGAGTACCGAAGCGAAGAGTAGACATAAGAAAATAGGCAATTAGGCTTCAGAAGGGAGAAGGCGCTAGACTGACCCCTTAGAAAACGTGTTGCGCGTCTGTAACTATTCATTTTTCAATTTTCATTCCTATTTTGCATTAAAATTAATTGTTCAATTCAATTTGTTATTAGTGTGTGTGTGCAAGGAGCGTACAGGTTAGTGGATTAATTATTATTTGGTCTTTGAGAGTTCAATTTACGCAAGTACAGTAGTGTCTCGATAAATGACTCTGTAATCAGGATTTTACTTGATTAGGTAATCCGAATTCATTCACATGACTCTTGAAAATAAAAGCACAGGTTTTCACTTGTCGTTTTGTAACTGTGTTCTAGTGAATAAGTAGTTTTTACACGCATCATTTAATCCGCGGCGTCCTTCCTGACTGTGTGGTTTTTTTTTAAAGAAAATGGAACCTATTAAACGCAAACACAAAACTTTAAGTCTCAACGAAAAGTAAGTGATTATAGATGAGCTTTCAAATAAATCTAAAGTTTTTTTGCTTGAATACGGCATGTTATTTTTTTCAAAAAAGTTTTAAAAGCGAACTGTAAAATGCCTTAGTAATCCGAATAATTTGATAATCCGGATTGTTCTGTTTTAATTGATCCCGATTATCATGACACTACTGTATTATTTTTTTTTTCTCCCAATTTTTATGTTTTTGTGTTTGTTTATAACATTTTTTATAACATGTGCATTGTTTATGTATTTAACCAAAAATCGTTTCATACTGTGAACAACACAGATAAAGAAGTAAATTAGAACCCAAGAAATTATGTGCTGTCTTTTGTGCTGAGATTTTGATTTTTTGGATTTAGAGCGTGCATTAGAGCCTTGTTGAATTTACTAACATTTTCCTACCCTTACGAGAGAATATCCTATCAAATTGAAATAATCAATCTAGAGATATTGGCTCAAAAACAACTATAGCTGGGTAGCATCCCGTATGGGACCTCAGTACCTTCCGGCAGACCGGCTAACTAACCAAAAACTCTTCAGTTTTGATTATAGGTAGTGTTGATTGAATGTAGTGTGTGTAATTAAAATTTTAGCACAAGAACAGGGGCGGTACCTAATTTAAACTTTTATTGACTTAAATTATTGAATTAATGACTCACAATTGTTATAAAAATGACACAGTATGTTTCGATTTTTGGGGAATCGAGGTTTTCTCTTCCGTTCTCTTTTTCCTCGTTAATTCCAGGTCGAGAACGGTACGTTTTTCTTTGAAAATAAAGGAGGCGTTTCACAAATTTTGCGTTTCTTTTACATATTACAGCTTCCCTCAAATTTCCCAAATATTTGCTATGTCGGGCGCATGTCCAATAAGTAAATTTGAGTAAGTATCCACAACGTAGGTCCTATTTGTTTCATTTTTCAGAAGATTTGTTGTTTAAAAGGTAATAAAATTTCTCATGGTTCAATCTTACTGAACGAACCCGGGTATGTTATACTACAGTAGGCATCACTGCCTGCTGGACAAGTCGAAGCTGTTCATTTGGCAGCTGGTCGATGGGGTGTGCAAGATGGATAATTCTTACTCTGAGACCTCTCCTGAGATGTGCGGGGCTTCTTTGCCTCCGCCTTCGGAGTGCTACCCTCCGACCGCTGGCATTTTGCCGATGCATTCGAGTGTTTGCGGATTGTAGCTATTTCACCCTTCGGTGGGCTCTTATCAGCGGACGTCGTGGGCTTGGGGGGAATAGGTTTCTCGCCCTGCCCTTTGCTGCCCATCTCTGATAGGATGGTTTTTGATACGGTTTCGTATGAGAATCCGCTTTTGAGCATCAGGCTGAGGCGTTTTTTGGATGCCCCAGCCAGTTTGTACCTTTTGTTGCGGCTGAGGCTTGCTACCCCCTTGGTGGCTTTCTCCGTCTGAACACTTTTGCAGTTTTAATCAGACATTCCCAAACCAACCGATAATAACCTGGTTAGTTTGCGATATTGACTAGACATTTCCAAAATTACCGATAATAACCCGGTTAGTTTGCATTTTCAATCGCACAATCATAGGTGAATCATTTTTAGTATTCGATTGCTCGCCAAATCTCAAAGAGAAGATTTTTGGAAGGGTAAATTCACCAAACACGTCCTAGCCTAAATATGTATTTCAATACTTATTGGTGCTTTTTCAGGATAGTGCACGTTTATAGAAGCTAAACAACTGATAAAATATTATATTTTCATTCAAGCTTTACGGAAAAAATTACAAAACTACTGTCCGTAATGTGGACCGTAGTCCTAAAGAACACCAAACCAACCAATACTAAAGCAAAAAAAAGGTCATAACTTCTAATGTTTACATAGTTGTTCTAGAAATTAAGCTAAGAAAATCGATAAACCTCAACGAAAAGAGCCTCAACCACAATTGAAAACTGAAGAAAAACGTGAGGAACCGAAAAAAGCAGTTGCAGAAAAAATACCCGAAGCGACGTTACCTACGCCAAAGTGCTGTGTCCCCATTGAAATGCCTTCCGACTGAACCTGAAAAGATTGCTAAGGAAACCCCAGACAAAATCAAAGAAAAAATTGCCGAAGAAGCTCCTACTGATTCTGAAGGAAAACCCTTGGCCTTGCCAGCTCAAGCCGAAAAACTTGAAGAAAAATCTGCCTCAGCTTTAGAGCTTGTGGAAGAAAAAATTGCGAAACCGAGCGAGCAAATGGTAGAGCTTCCAACCAGTGTGGAAGAAAAACTGCCTGAGCTTAAAACAGTCATCCCAGACAAAAAAAGAAAGAAAGCATCGTTGAACTAATATACGAAAAGAAAGCCAAATCCGATGAAAGAGCACAAGAACAAGCATTGCCTGCTTCCGAAGAACCAAAATCAGTAACCGCTCAAGAAGCCAAACCAGCTACTTCAGAACCATTAACTGCATCTGAAGCGCCTCTTGTAACTTTCCGTGCTGCCGCTAATTCAGCAAAAGAAGAAAAACCAGTAGAAAAAGCACCAGAAGGAAAATCTGCTGCACCAGAAGCTCTGCCCCAACCTGCTGCAGTGTAGTATAAGGTAGCATGGGGAAGTTTTAGGTAAAAAACATTAAAGTAGTTTTTGATAGAAATAGGTCGACCTAGATTCAGTTATTATGTTGCGCGTGTAAATATGCTGTAATGGTAATTATTGTTTAAGTTAATATATTATTTAGCAATTAAATTGTAGCATAAGCATATTGTATTGGGAACATCTATTGAGTAAATAATTATACATTAATTCATAGAGAACCGTCTTTTAGACATGTCGTTTTATTTTTTTGAAACCCTATGAAAAGTTAAAGAACTTATAATATTACATCAGTACCTGAAGCAGCTAAACCTCTCGAAGAACCAAAACAAGAAGAGAAGTTCGAAGTTCAACCTGACAAACCAGCAAAAAGCGCACCAAGTTCCTGAATTAACGAAAAACAAACTGAATCTAATGTAAAGAAAATTATTGACTGATAATTATTTTTTTTGTTGAGGTTTGCTTGCCGCCTTGTTCCAAACCTACACTTAATCAATTTTTTTTTTTTTTTATTGAACATTTGGGTTGATCGAACCTCCCCGTTTTTAATTTCTTTGGAAACACTAATTAATAATTAATTCGAGAGCTCTTTGCTCAAAAATAATAATTCTTTTTTACTTTCTTTTTTATTTTTAATATTGTTTTTTTAACTTTGATTTGTGGATAATTTGTCACCAAAACTGCGTTAAAGTTTCGTACACGTTTCAAGGTATGGATTTTAATTCACTTTTCCTCTTCTACAGTTTCGGTGGCCATCAATTGGAATTATTTAATTATTTTTTCTTAGGATTAGTCTTATTTTTATTGTATATTTAAAGGTTTTCAATAAATTTTATTACATAAACATTTCGCGTTTTATTTTTATTCTTCAAATGTAAATCTACTAAAAACACGTTGACTGCCCAGGAGGATCCGGGTATCTTGGTAATATGTATAAAAAAAATCATCATCTCTGGTGATATACTTTTCGTTGGTAGAATATGATGGAATCCTGTTCGATTGTCCAAAATGGGAAAGTGATAGATATGGGTGTCTGCTTCAGGCTCGATTAGGGGTATTCTAAGGATGAGAATGATTTGACAATCGTCACTTAGATTAATAGGCTTCTACGCCCGGTTTATTCATCTCCAAATAAACTGCAACTGTCTCCAAGACAAATATACCGGTTCTAAATCTATTATGTCCAGATAGTGCGCTGGGAAGAGGAAGATTAGAGAGTGCGATATTTCCTAGACTGTAAAGCCCAGTTTTCTGTAATTGGTTTTACAATACTTCCTAAGCCATTAGTCGGCGGCACTCATCTGTAAATCCAGTATTTTGTGTCATCGTTATTTTCCCTTATAATAATTAAATATCGACTATAAAATGCATTTCTGTGACATTTTTCTGTTTTCAACGCCTCATTTTGCTGTATTACTGATTCCATAATACTGATTGTAATGAACTCAAAGAGATAATATTGTTTTATAGTTTATTATCGATTTTTCTTGCTTTTTAGTTTAAAATAGGAGCTGATTTTTTTGTACTATTTGCTGGAAAAGAAAATCTTGACAGAATTTTGCTTTCTTATTTATTTCAAATTTTGTTTTGAAAAGAGTGTAGGTAATTATTACTTCAATTCCATTTAAGACCTTTGTATTTTACTGCTACATACTCAAATTTTCTATTTTTCCAATTAATGTGTGTGATGTAGAATTTGCAGCATTGTATTGGCATTTGCTTATCTTTTTTAGAAGATTAACAATATATGAAAGGTGTTTTTTAACGTGCCGTTAGCGAATCTGCTTTTATAAACTTATATTTCAGAAAATAAGAGTTATCTCTTTCTTCCAGTTCTGAAGCTAGACCAGTGACTTGCGTCAATAAATTTTGTGAGAAGTCGGAGGAAGACGAGATCGTTTCAGAATTGATTCCAAAAATAACAATTGTAGGTAACACTTATCCAAAACATTGGAAAAATCTAATAATTTTAAATCTTTGTTTCCAGATATGAACTGCACTTGTGTAATTTTGCCATACAATGATGGTTACTACATTTATGAGGACTTGCCGATTATCTTCAAGCAATCTGTTAGAATTTTTAATGAAAAGTCAGAGACAATAAAAAAAGAAGAATGTTTGAGAACCACTCTGCAGAATCACAGCTAACACCAGGTAAGCTTAATTTTAGTCCAGAAGAGGACTTGGTTAGTTTGGAAAATATTTTATGGATTAAATTGAGAAGAAAATCCCCACAAAACTGTTGAGTGATACCAATAGTGGTTATAATAACGATAAAAAGACTTAGTTTTGATGTTGAGTGATACCAATAGTGGTTAGAATAATGATAGAAAGACTTAGTTTTGATGTTTTGTCTTACATCAAACATCCATTGAACAAGATTTGGAAATGCAATTGAAGTTTGGTAGAAAACCAACGGTTTGTGTTAGTTATTGTTCAATTTTAAAAATAAGTTGGGTTGCGTACAATAGTAACTACAGATTGACTATAAAATGCATTTCTGTGACATTTCTCTTTTTTCAATATCTCATTTTGCTGTATTTCTGAATCCATAATACTGGTTGTAATGAACTTGAAGGGATAATATTGTTCTATAGTTTTTTATCGATTTTTTATGTTTTTCAGTTAAAAATAGGAACTGATTTACTGTACTATCCGCTGGATTAAAAAATTTGACTTTTGCTTTTTTATTTATTTCAAATTTTGTTTTGAAAAGAGAGTAGGTAATTATCGCTTCAATTGTATTTTAGACCCTTGTATTTCACTTCAACATACTCAAATTTTCTTTTTTTTTTTTCGAATTGTGTGTGTGATGTAGAATTTGCAGCATTGTATATTGACATTTGGTTTTGAACGTGCCTGCAGCGATTCTGCTTTTATGAACCTATATTCCAGAAATTATGAGTTACCTATCTTTTTCTTCCAGTTCTGATGGTAGACCAGTGATTTGCGTCAATAAATTTTGTGAGAAGTTGGAGGAAGACGAGATCCTTCCAGAAGATCGACCGGTAGTACCAACACAGAATCAACAGTTATTTTTCCCACTTACTATTATCGTAGCACAACTTTCAAACAACAAACATTTTATAGTGGATTTCAAAAGACAAGTGTAATAACACTTATCTAAAACATTGGAAAAATATAATAATTTTTAATCTTTGTTTCCAGATGTGAACTGCACTTGTGTTATTTCTGTATTTCTGTTACTACCTTAGATCATATATATATGTTATTCACATATGGATACAGCGAAAGCCAACAATTATGTTGACAACATATCCAAGACATACTTAAATCGTCTTTCTTTGTTTAACACGCAGATCTCCTATGAGCTTTATCTTTCTTTTGTCTTGCATGGCCTCTCATTGGCCGCAAATTTGGAAAAGTGACAGAGAAAATATAAGATTAAGTTCATTTGTTTACATTTACTCTGCGTAAGGAGAAGGAGACTTGGAGAGTTTGATGGAATTTTTATAATATATTGATTTACTGACAACTTAAACTGGTGGAAAAATAGTATTGTTTACAGTTCAAAAAATGCTGTCGAGTGATTTCTATTCTCATATTTCAATTATGCTATGCAAGTGATTGATAAGTGAATAAAATATACATATATCTACCAAGTCTTTCTAGATACGTTTGGCTTTTTTTGCTTCTGTTTTTACTAGCAGAGTTGCTCTATTGCAATGGCTTTTAAAATTAACTAGAATATATATTGCTTTATTCGAAATATCGAAAGCAAATGGCAAAACCGGCAGAACGCAGAAATCAAAACAATCGACAATCAAGCGAGGGTTGCCAATGTTGCCAAATAATTTTTTCAATAAGAATACTACAATAAAATAATTGATATTTATGTACTTTTGAATCTTGAATTGCTTGAAATCTAAAATAAATGCTATTTTTATTATGTGATTTTGCTTCTAGCAAACAATTTCATAATTAGGGGAAATGTGAAGAAATATTAAAGCTTATACAATATTAATCAATTTGGCAATGTTGAAAATTGAGTAAATTAGCAAAGATGTATGTTATTACTTCTAACTGCGCATGCTCAGACGGTGAAACAAAAGAAAGATAAATTTATATCATTCATGAGGCTATGAAAGAGATAAATGGAAAAAAGCACGTCTTCATGTTGGAAACAGGAACGTATGTTATTTCAGAGGGGATTGCTGTATCCATATGTGAATAACATATATATATGATCTAAGGTTACTACGTCTGTGAGGACTTGCCGATTATCTTCAAGCAATCTGCTAGGATTTTTGATAAAAGTTCAATAAAAAAAGAAGAATGTTTAAGAATTCGCAACCACCCTGCAGAATCACAGCTAACACCAGGTAAACTCAATTGTAGACCAGAAGAGGACTCGGTAAGTTTGAAAAATATGTTATAGAATAAATTGAAAAGAAATTCCCCACAAAACCGTCGAGTGATACCAGTGGTTAGTGGTGATATAGTGGTTAGAATAATGATAGAACTGAGTATTTCCTGTTGTTATTTGGTTTATGGCCCTTCGATTTGTGCTATCAACTGCAATGATAGACTTTAGCTACTTTTTACTTAGTATGCATAATATTTCTTTATAATATTTATTCACATGAGTTTATTTGTTGCCTTGTTGCCAGAATATTTGTATACCTACCTACATATTAGATACAATAATAATTTGCTTTTCGAAAGCATTATTATTCGAATAAAATGCCCATAAAATGAGCTTTATTATTATTTATGTGCAGTGTGTAGAAAGTAAAGAAATAATAATTAATAACGTTATTTATTTTCTTTGATGTTTTTATTTTCGAGTTAAATGTGCATGAACGACAATGCGACTGGCAATTATTTATTATTTAATATTATAATGTCGTGATTGGAAAAAAATTATAACATGTGTTACGTTCCTGGCTGCCATTCAAGTAAAGTGATAAATCTTTGTATTTCCATAGACTCGCGACGAAAAACAGTGCTATTTATGTAACAGTTTTGAATGAGGCAGGAGTCGGAAATAAAATGAAGATAAGAAAAGCTTGGGAAAGGGTTTTGTCTACAAACAAGCCAATAAAAACCTACACGCATGTTTGCTCGAAACATTTCACCAACGAGGACTATTTTCATGCCAATGGTAAATTTATTGTAGAATAAAAACTTGTAGGTATCTGGCAATTGTCTTTTTTCAGCTATGCTGCCGCCTTTGCCCACCAACTAAGTTCATTTTAATGAGGAATATATGGGACCTTATGAATTCGAAGTTTCGATCATGTCAAGCCACAAATCCAAATACCCTTGCGTGTACTCTAGAATCTTAAATGCGAGGGAGCTTCCGGCCAATTCAAGTTAGTAGCTTGATGGTGAAGAGAAACCAATCAACGAGTAGTCAAAGAAATAATCACTTTCGTAGTGAATTTAAAATCAAGAAAGTTAATGATGAATGAGAATTAACTTTAATTATTCATGCAATGTGGTTACACATTTTTAATGGGTTCAAGGAAACGTTAAACTTTAAAGAAACTCTGCATTCTGCGTGTTCAATGTTTTAACGCTTTAACGACGCATCAGAAAGTAGTATGGATGGGTTGAGATTATGGTTAAAAGACATATTCAACAAATCATACTGCTACTGCCACCATATACATTACAATAAACTGTGGAGAGGCGATAGCTTGAAGTATCATTATCTATACACACGGTCCTAATCGAGGTCCCAATGCTTACTTTTTATATTTTTTCAGGTGAAAGAGGTGATACAATAAGCCATTTTTACAATCGAAGCAAAAAGTTTACTTTAATTACTTCAAAATCAACAATAATTGTCCAGTAGTTGACAATTTTCTGGATCATTCAATAAAGCTCACCAAAGGAGACAATCAAATCAATCATTTTTCCAAAATTCTTAAAACTCTGACTCCAGGTGATTTGAAAACCATTATTGAGCTGATCAAGCATGATTTAAGAATGGGAGCTGGGGCAAAACATCGTATACTGGAAGGCATACATCCAGATGCATATAATGTTCATAAGACTTCCAAGGACTTGGATGGTGTAGTGGACAAGTAAGAAATAATTGTACCTATTTGTATATTGAAGCTATTCACTAACTGGCTACCTGCTTTAAAATAATTTGGATTGGATATTGAACTTTTAATTAGGTATTATGCTTTCAATTGAAAACATTATCATATTTGGAAGAATAGATTGATGAAGTGCCACGCTTTGCACAACAGCGCTAATTTTAGAAAAATTGCCCTATTTCTAGGGATATACCAAGTATCTAGCTTAGATAGTGCCTCATACCCATTATTCTTTTTGGGGTTCCAGTTACCCAATACTTCACTGGTTACAGATGATATTTCTCGTAATAACTTCCATACATTCAAAAGAGATAATATAAATTCAAGTTAAATAGGCATGGTAACGACTGACCGACTCTCTATGGCAGAAAATTTAACGTCATTACAGACCACAAACCTCTTCAATGGCTTTTTCCAGTTGAAGATACATCTTCAGAATTACTACGCTGGAGAATAAGACTAGAGGAATTTAACTATCAAATTATTTACAATAAAGGAAAATTGAACACAAATGCAGACGCACTATAAAAATTTGAAGAAGAAATCATGAGATTTATCAAATAATTAATGATACGAAATTAACAATATCACCTATACTTTGAAAATCCAGAGGCTTACGAACCATTTTGCCGAGTCATCAAAAACAATTTTAAATGACCCTCTTTATTATTTAAAAGATGAACTTCAAAATTACTTGACGTTACAGTCAAAAATGATATTAAAAAGATTATTCAAAATTACCATGAAAGCAAATCAAATTACCGTTGCATAGAAGAAACAGTTCAAAGATTATGAGCAAAATATTACTGGCCAGATCTTAAAAATTCAGTTCAATCTTTTATCAACGAATGCGATTCATGTAAATATGAACGAAACCCAGTAAAGATTCCAATGAATCTTACGCTCACGGCATCAAGGCCCCTTGAAATTATTCACCTTGATACCTAAACCACATATACTCTAGAGAAAAGTAATGTCTTACTATCGTCCACAGTTTTTCGAAATATGCGCAAGCATACCCACATAAATCATTAGCTGCGACTGAAATTGCAAATAGTCTACTAAGTAATTTCTCTCACCACGGAATTCCAAAACAAATAATGACAGACAGTGGTACAGAATTTAAAAATACCATAGTGACAGAATTATTGTCCCATCACTTATCAAAATATGGCGAGTTCGGAAATGTCATCGCAGATGCGACAGATTTTTTTACATCTGACTTTAAATTGATTTTATATAAGTTTAACACGTGGCAATTATCAAAATTTTCATCGTTTTGCTCTTGGAGCTTTTTTTCGAACTCAGCTATAAATTCGACTATTATCATATTTTCTCAATACCGATTTACAAACAAAATAAATTCGAAACAATTGTTCCAAAAAGTAAATTCTTAATAAAGAAAAAAATTCGCTTCTCATGGCGATCTACGGAGTGCCAAGAAATCCAGAACCAGTACTATATCTGTGACAAAATGGATCTCACAGAAATCACAACCAAAAATCCGTGTGCAATTATTGGAATCAAGTATAACCAAGTTCAATCATGTCAACAAATCGAAATTGACATTTCTATAACAATAGTCAATCAATTGAACCTTTCATGGATCATAATTATTCCCAAAGAAGAAACAGTCAATATGGAATGCAGTAATCAAGAAGAATACCTGAAATTATGAGAGCATAATAGGCTTGAAACCGGTCTGCAATTCGGAATAGTGCCAAATGATTGAGAATTCGGGTTTCTCCATTGTCTTGTAAATGCAAAACCGCTCGTATAACATAACTCTGACTGTGTCAGAGTAATACAAACTCATGGTATGGGTAATTAACAGTGTGTTGAAGCTTTGGTAAAGACACTTGTGTTTTCCAAAAAAGTTTCAAACATCCCTTTGATTCGACACACTGTCTAGAATTTCTTTGATTTTGGATTTTTTCTCCTTCAAAAATCTTGATTTTTTTGACTCAAAAGCGTCGTTTTCGGTATTTGCTTTGAATACGGAGTGAGCGAGCCACACGCTAATAAAGGTCTATATCTTCCTTATCGTTTGAATCTCGTGCAAACCTGTTTCTCTAAGTGGTGTGCTTTCGTCTATATAGCACTGATTAGAGCATAACAAGCTCGAAACCGGTCTGCAATTGGTGTTAGTGCCCAATAATCGAGAATTCGGGCTTCTCTATACTCTTATAAAAGCAAAACCGCTCGTATTACATAAATCTAGCCGTGTCAGAGTAATACAAACTCATAGTATGACTAGTATAAGTAATTGACAGGCTGTTGAAGCTTTGGTAAAAACACTTGTTATTTTCTAAAGAAATTTCAAATATCTCTTCGATTCGACACACTGCCTAGAATTTTTTTGATTTTGAAATTCTATTTTCAAAAAACTTAATTCTTTTGGCCCAAATGGGTCGTTTTCGGTTTTGGCTTTGTTTGACTATGGACAGAGGGAGCCACACGCTATTAAAGATCTATATCGTTCTTATCGTTTGAATCTCCTGCAAACCTCTTCCTCTTAGTTGTGTGCTTTCGCCTATATTGCACTGATGAGAGCAGAACAAGCTGGAAACCGGTCTGCAATTGGTGGTAGTGCCCAATGATTAAAAATTCGGGTTTCTCCATATACTCCTTATAAAAGCAGAACTGCCCGTATTACATAAATCTGATTATTAGAGTGATACAAACTCATAGTATGAGTGATTCCCAGTGTGTTGAAGCATTGGTAAAAACAATTGTTTTCCAAAGAAATTTTGAACATCTCTTTGATTCGACATACTGTCTAGAATTTCTTTGCTTTTGGAAATTTGTTTTCAAAAATCTTGGCACATATTTTGTCGAAATCGCAAAAGTTTGCAAGCTCATCAACTCCAGTAATCAAAAAGTGATCATACAACAGATGACTTCCAAAAAATCAAAATCCAAATTGAGCACGATCAACTCAATTTTACACTGTGTCCCGAAATTGGCGGAACCCCAAATATTTGTACTATTTCCATTTACCTACTGATGGTAATTCTTGTTTTTTACTATACCTACAAGAAACTGATTCAACCTAGACAAGGATCACGAAGGACTCAAGAACCAGTCCAGAAGACCCAATCCAAGAACCGAGTCCTATTCAACTACCCAATTAGTTGAATCTAATGATAACTTTCGATGCTTCGAAATTGAATATTATAAAAAAAAATTGTAATAGTTTTTAAGTGGAATAAATTAGTTTTAAAAAAATCGTAAATCGTCTACTGATTTCTAACTCATGGCATCCCATGTTCAAATCATTGGGACAATGAAATACCTATTTAATGTCTACATAGCGATAAATGCTAGTGAATTTATAGATAGATTAGTTTAAGGTGGTACATAGGAATCACACATCAGGCTTTATTCTTGAACGTTGACAAATGAGGAAGTTTTTGGGACACTGTGTGTGTGATTTGGAGACTTGTTGGTAAGCTAAGGCTGAAGCCCTAACAACAATTTTTGGACAATAATCCAAAAAATACAGTTTTTGTAGAAATTCGCAAATATTGCGCTTTTCAGGGCGAAGGCTCGCCAAAAAAGTTTGAGGTAATACCAAGTGTTTAATTTTTTCTGAAGATTTTCGATCGACAATGCCATCATCAAAATAGTTTCAAACAAATGGAAGACTCATCATGATATTCAAAGTGGCTCAGCAAACCATTACCATCCTCAAAATGGACTCAAGAAGTTTGGAGGCAGTATTTTCAGCAGCCAAAAAAGTTATCGTCTACAAATCGTATGCGATGATGATAATAGTGACACACTCGTGATCTCGTTAATTTTGCCTCTAGTTTTGATGCAAACCCAATGCAATCATTTTGCGACGTCAGCAGATATTTAAACGAAACTGAAAGACTTTGCGAAGAGCTCTAGCTACATTAAAGCGATCTTGGTGAATGAAGGAATCAAATATTCATCTCAGTCAAGGCCAATTCACAGAACAAACAATCTAACCTTTTGAATCAGAAATTGTCTGCTGAATATTCCGACGATATCGAACAGTAGTGATAAATGCCTGAGCTATACTGAAAGCCAGCCAAGAATCAACTAATATTGTCATAGGGAAACATTTGGATAGCTTTGATGAGAACAACATTAAAGAATTTCAGAACGTCCTTCGTCCTTCGGCCAAAATGTCTGTTGAGCGCTGATGACTCTATTCAGCATGAAGTTATACCGCAAGGGGTAACTGAGTTTGTAGGTAGTCAGTACAACAATGGTACTATACGTAGCACTTGGAGTTTAAAGTTACTTGCGAAACGAGGCCTAATTGTTGCTTTTATTTGCCACTTGGCCGTGAGAGGCTCACCTCCTTCTACCCCTGTTATATCAGCCTGAATGCGTTGTCTCAGAATTGCTAAGATTGTGGCAGCTTCCTCAGTTATGAAGGTTGACTGAGAACCAGGATCTACTAGTACACGTATGTGTTGATCTGTTCCATACATATATGTCTGCTACCTGGACCATTGCGGTGGCTAACAATACCATCTCGTCTTGTCTTTGGAAATGATTTGCAGAGTTACTATGCCAAGAGTTCTGATAATCTCTGTTTTGATTTCGCTGATCTTGCCGATATCCAGTTGATGTCAATGTTACCCTAATCAGTTCAGATAACGACACCCGGCAGTTATAGCCCTAGCCCTCGTCTTATTGGCTTCTTAGGATATTTGATTGGCAGGACCGCACGGCTCTAAGAATTTGCCTTTTCTTATTTTTTGGCAGGAATATGATCCCGCGCTCGTTGTGATTTTGCCGATGCTTCTCGACAGAACCTTGTCTCCGCATTGTATCCGGCTCGAAGGACAGAGGACGAAGAACGAGTTAGTGTTCAGGACTCAACGTTTATCGATAGCCAAGCGAACGGACGTTCACATAGAAGGGCTGACCTCAAACGTGGTGAGAATAGACCAGCTTGGATAAGACCAGAAGTAACTCTTTGGCGCGAGAAGTTGGTGTTATAA